GGTACTCCCCTCCGCGGCCTTCGCGCGGCGGCTCCTGCTGCCTCCCCTGCCTTCCACCGCCACCGGGCCGCCGGTCACAGGGTCTCGTCTGCAAGCCGCCTCTTGTCTTGCTCGCGGTGGTAGGAACCTCCGGACTCCTGACAGCCGAGGGGAAGGCGTGCAGCTCCCTCTCCAAGAGCGCCCAGGGGTGGGGGCAGGCTCACGCCTTGCCTCCAGCAGTATCCCGCTTGGATTTCTCACCGTTCGTTGCCTTAGGTAGCCAGAGTGCTCCAGAGGGTTTCGCAAATCCACATCATTCTCCTTAAATTTGCTTCTTTATTTGTCTTTGGTCTCCTACTTTTTTTTCTACTTTTTTTTTCCCCCACTGTGATTTTGACTCGGTTTACAGAGGTGTGATTTCTGACATTCAGAAAAGAGAAAAAATACAAGTTATTCTTCCCAAGAAAGTATGAGGCATTGCATCAGCTCAGCATTTCTCCCTCGAGTCTGTCTATATAGGTGTAGCTACTACGAGGTAATTTTATTCCGGCTGAGGTGCTTTGTTGTCTTGGACGGCCGGGAAGTTGCTGTGGCTGTCGTGGAAGTGATTCGCCTCTTTTAGCCAGCGCAGTGGTTGCCTCTGTTGGCACAAAGCTACCCTCGCGATTGTCGGCACGAGAGCTTATCCTGTAGGTCTCCTTAAATAAACCAATCCTCTTCCATGTGAAATGTATTATTACGTATTTTAAATGCTTTATGAAAAATATATGTATTTTTCACAGCGTTCTCAGTGTTCTCCCTAAATATTTTGGCAGTTGCAACCAGGGTGACACTGGGGTAAGGCAGTCAGTTAGATCATAGTAACAGGATACAAGGTGTGCTGTATGGGAAACGACAGGCTGTCAGAAGTGGATTGTACATCCATTTGAAATGTACCACTGAAATTTTCCTCATTTTTGCTTTGTGACTTTATAAAAGGAGTGGTTAGAGGAATGCAGCGGAAGTTGTTTTCTTCATGTATTTTCTGTTCCTTTTGTATTAAACTTTGTTCTACGCCCAACAGCTTACCTTTGTGACAATTCCTACTCTCCTTTATGATTCATTTTTATTGGAAACTCTGTGGAATTGTGTGTTTCTATAAACTGTAGAGTCTCCAGTTTTGGCTGAATCTAGCTTTGCATGGTCCATATGTAAGCTATAGGGAACACTGTGTTCTGCTACTCTATTATATTGTTTCTTAAACCTTCAGACGATTCCTTTTGATATAAAATGAGTATTTTTATAATAGTTCAGACTTGTAATTACTTTCAGCAGAAAGCATATTAGAAAACCTAAATCTTGGTCTTAGCAAGTCTTGCTGCAGCTTTATTTTTAACGGCTTTTTTACAGTAAGTAGTCAGCAGCTGTGAAAACATCAGTAAAGCTTAATGTCATCATATATTTGGTCATCCATAAATCTTGACGTCTGGACCGTATGAAATTTTTGAAACACACTTTGTTATTAAAATGGCACTATCAGGATCTATCGTTTGTAACAGTGCTCGGAAAGCTTTCCTTCCACACATCTTTTGCGTTTGACGTATCTGTATGTTTCTCTCTTGAGTGTAGCTGAAATTAGCGTTACTATTTTTATTTCCTTACTTGTTTGACAACAAAAGAAATACTGTGACTAAAAATAGCAACTATTGATTTTAACTTCCCACTGTGGGAGCGGACAAGTGGGGCTTTTTTAAACAAACAGGAACAGCGAATGCATTTCTGCTTCTGCCTCAACTATTTATGTAGACAGCTTCAAGATTTTCTGCTTCTGCTGAAGTATTTGACAGCTCGATAACAAAATGCGTATAATAATACAAATAACAGCCTGTGTTGCTGGTGTGGGTTGGGTTTTTTTTTTTTCATTCCCATTTTGATTGAAGTTGTAACTGATACGCAACACTTTCAGAGTACATCTGTACTGCTGTCAGCAGTATCGCTCCGACAGAGGTAGCTGAGCTAGCTTTAAATGAACTAGCTCAGGTACTGGAAACTATTTAGCTGTGGCAGCAGAGTTTAGTCCAGTCTAATTTCCCTGATGGAGTGAGGACAGGAGGATCTCGGGTTCCTTATAATTCAGGTGTTGGCTATAATTTCAGGGAGCTGGTAAGCTACTCCTTTGTGCGTATGTTTTTGAAAGTCACGATTTTGCAAAGCGTGATGTTGTGTTGTCACACGAATGCAAATAAATAACGTCATCAGCCACTGAGGAGGGCTCATCCCGTAGGGCAAGCTTATTTTCCTTCAGGAACACTGCCGCTAACTTCCATTGTTGTGTTTCAAGGTTTTGCCACGCTGGACACCAGAACTGCAGGTAGTGGGGCATTTTCTTCTAGATGACTCCCTTGGGGTTTGGGTTTTTGAGAGGGTGTTCTTTCCCACCCCCATTTGCTATTTACCTATATCACTTTTCTGCTAATAATTTCTGCCTCATGATGGTTTGTGAACATTTGCCAAGAGACTCAAGGAAGATCCTTATTCTTTTGATTTGGAGTATCTGATTTGGTATTCTGATTTGATGCTGTTGACAGGGGGTGCCCAAAGCGTTGGGAGTAATGTATTGAACAGTCAGAAACGTGTTACACGTTCAGAACAGCCAAAAATTCTTTGAAGGAAAATAAACCAGCAACAAATAATTCTCTAATAGTAGTCTTTATTTTAGTAGGTTAGGTCTACTGCTGGGAGGATTGGTTTGGGGTTTTTTTAGCCCAGCGCTTGAGGACAGTGTTACCAGAATTAACTCACCTTGGATTACCTCAGCCAGTCACTACAGTTAGCAGTAAAATGAACGGTAAATCCTTTGACATCAGTCAGCACATATATAAACTAACTTCTCTTTGAGTTTTCCCTGGTGGTTAAAGACAGCAATCAAAACACAAAACAGTATTCAATCAAAATACTTACAAGCTTTTAGTCATATGTGTGTGTGCAGGTTCCGCCTGAAAAGAAACTTCCCACAAATACGGGATTGTTCAAATGATGCATGGACTTCTGCTACTTTTTTTGAATGAGGAAATTAATTTTAATTATTTTTTTAAATGATGCACTTTCTGTCCCATAGTTCCTCATCGGTCATTTGGAACAGTATTATTATCTTACTGTCTGATACCTGTGCTGCTTGTAGTGGACAGCAGTGCCACAAACCCATCCTTATTGGGAACAGTAACAAAGATAGGAATACGCTGGGGAGGGGAGGGGAGTTGCTGCCGGGAATGTCGTTAGGAACGCTGGTGATGAAACAGTGAAATGGGAAGCGTTCACCTTGCCATGTAAACTGTCGGATATTGATGTGCAGATTACGGAGCCTTATCTGCAGCACTGGGTTCCAACAGCTTGAATATCTCTTAAGTTTAAACCACAAACTTCAGTTGGTTAAAGAATGCGTTTCAAATGCTAGAGGACCTTTAAATGTGTCAAAAGAGATTATAGGTGACTGAGCGCAAGGCACCTGGAGTTATTTTTAAATAAATTTGTGTAATCTTATATAGCTTATATATTTCTGTAATACCACAGTGTGTACTGAGACTTCGGAAAATTTTCCTGGAGGTCCTTCTTGCTGTTTGTGATTCAGAGAATGGGATGAGCCTTGGCATCAGCATGTTAAGTGTGCTGGGCCTGACAATATAATGCGGGTTGGAAAGTTTCATACTATGGCAAGCCAGGTACATTCTGGAGGCAGGAGAAAATTCCTTTTTGGACAGGCTTTTTCTGACATGATGGATGTTGCCTGATACCTTTCAAGAAGCAGTGAGGAATTAGTTTGGATAAGATTCTTGCAAGTTTGGGTGAGAAGTCGCTTTCTAGAATGTTCAAGTGTTTGCCTACTAACCTGTTCCTTACAGCACGAGATGCAAGTAGTGGGAGGGGAAAAATAAGAGACTTCTGATGCAGCCTTATTTACAGGGCTGCTGCTGTGATCTTGCATGGTGGAGGATTGCCGCGCAGGAGTGAGAGCGTTATGGGAAAGGGTCTTTGTTCTTACTCACACCTGGCCTGTAACCACAGAGGAGAAGCTGGAAGATAGTTTGATGGGAACAAAACCACTGCGCCTTGAATTTTCTTACGCTTTTCTCTCTGATGCAGTGCTAAATTCCTCATGCTGTGCTGATAGTTCGTCTGGGGTGACGCCTGATAAATGGGAACGTTCTGCCTTATAAAGAACTATGGTCACTAAGGTGTTGGCTGACCGATCGGTAATGTGCCATTTACATAATGGTGCAAAAATACGTAGTAAAGTGTCATATGTGTTGGGCATCCTGAGAGAAAAGAGATGAACTGGTATTAATTCAGTTTCCAAAACATCAGTATCAGTTATTCTTTTAATTCAGCTCTCATTAATTCTATAGTGTCTCTTGTTCAACAAGTTTCTAACACCACTGGTCACTTCAGGAAAGTATTCATATTTTTCCTAATTATTCAAAAATATCTTTCGCTAATTGTATAATATTAGCATGTTGAGCTATTCATTCTCTCTTTTCTTTTTTTTTTTTTTTCCCTAGCTAGGGCCTGCAGCTTCAATTATATCAGCATTACTGACTGTAGGAGTATTTCTTTTTATACTGCATGAATTATTGCTAATTGAAACAAAAGGCAACTGATGTCATGCTCCTCTGTGAAGGAAGCCTTTGCTGACTTCATTCCTTCTGTTATGATGAGGCATTGTATGTGAGACTAACTTCTCTACAGTTGGGAACAATTAATTTTTCATATTAAAGTACATGTGGAAGTATTCCAGTACGTAATGAGGAGGAGGGAAGAACTGGTCTGTCTTGTACACGTTCTTGCTCTCGCTGCTGTTTCATCAGGCCTGAATGTTGTAACTCGGCCGGTCCCAGGGCTTTACCTTGCAGCTCGGCAGCAGCAGGGGGAGCAGTGTAGCTTCATTTGGGGGCTCTCCTTGACCAGGGCGGGAGTTAGTTGATCACTAGCCCAGAACAAAGCTGCTCAGGCCCAAAAATCCCCTCCTGTTGGAAATGTTCTACTTGTCTCCGGCTAGGTGAGCAAGAAGGAGGTTATTCTGTGCGCTGTGCTGCGCTGCCGTAAAGCCCAAGTCCCGCAGGTGCAGCAGTGTTACCTGCTGGAGTGAGTGATGGTCACATCTGCCCAGGCTGTTGTGTGTCCTGGTGCAGAGCCAGGTCAGGCTGTTCGGCACAGTCGTGGGGCTGAAAGGGGTCTCTGGGGCGTGAGCTGGGTCAGCTGCCTGCACCGAGCTGGGCCAGCACTGGGTGCAGACCAGAGCTTTGTCCAGTTCACTCTGGAATCCCTGCAAGGGTGGAGAGTCTTGTGCCTTCCTGGGGAACCTGTCCTAATGCTTAATTATCTTCAGAGTGAAATATTTTGTATTATGCTGTCACATGCTAATGTATTGCAGGTCCTTTCCCACTGAAATACTGTGTCCTATTCACTTTGAAGCTGTTCTGTTCCGTGACCATTGACCCTTGTTCCCCTGCCATACACCTCTGTAAAGAGTCTGCCTCATCTCACATTATATTTACAAAGTGCTTTGCCACCTTTGTTGCCTACATATTCTATTGTAAAACCGTTGCAAAATAGTGGGTTTGGGTTTTTGTTTTTTTTTTTTTTTTCTTCTTTTGCCACTCATTCATTTCACAGATTTCTTGCTTAAGTCTTAGGTCAGATGTTTTTGGACAGTGACACGCACTAAATAAAGTATCATCAAATGTTCCTATTTTGCATAAGTTTTTGTTGGCTCATGCTCAGTTTGCCATCCCTCATAACATGTACATCCTTTTATTGCCTGTAAGGAACTGCCTTCTGTATCACAAATCCACAGACCTTCCCTGAATCAGTAGTGTCAGATCCTTGTATGTGCATCATTGTGTTGCAGTAAACAACTTGGACTCTTTTTTTGTATAGGGAAGGAGTCAGTGTAGACAGTAAATTTGAAAATACAATCAAGTACACGGTGAGAGCACATAGCTCGGTAATGTGTATGTGCACTCTTAATATCTTAAGCAGAAACTGTCTTTAAAATTTAATTACTGTGCAATCTAGTATCATGTTGGTCAAACCTGGAGTCACAGATTATTTTTTCACCTTTATATTTCTATAGTTTTTACTTACAAGTTAATTTAATCTTGTGCTGCGCATAATATGTCACTATGTTCCCACATGGATTTAAGATAAAAATACTATTTTCCATGCATCTGCCTCGCTTTTCTCTAGTGAAAATGTGTTAGGGTATTGTGTTGCTGCCATATAATTATAGCTCTGTTGGCATTTGTTGAATTAATCCCTTGCATATTTCCTTGCAATAAAAATGATATTTAGATTAGTTACTGGCTTAATAAAATTAACCTTTTAATATTATCTTCCTGTATATGTATGTGTGTGTAGGAAGAAGACAGAGATCAGGGTGCCATAGGTGGAAAGAAGGTCATTAATCGGACGTTTCTTTCTCTTTCCCAAATTGCTACTCTGTCAGAACAAAATGTAGAAGCAGTTCAAAAGTAAGTGGCAATGATTATAATGCTAGAACCTATATTATAATAAAATAAAAATTGTAGACCATTTATTGTATTTATTTTTTGATGGTTATGTCATTAGTCTTTGGCTGTTCAGTTATATCATTGATATTTAATATGATTCATGAAAGACAGGAAGAAATACTGTTCCTCTCAGATCCTCTTTGTTTTACTGCATTTCCTATATTTCTTGATTTTTCTTCGACTCTTTTTTCCCTGGTGATATTTCACATTGACATGGTTTCTGAGGTTACAGTAGTATTAAATATGCCATAAATGGAATTCAAAAATGTAAATAAGAACAGGCCAATACTGAGCTTTTTTATAAGCCTCACTTGGTAACTTTTTTTGGTAAAACATGGAAGATTCTGTACTGTAATGTGTTATTGAAAAATCAGGAAGGTTTTAAAAGTTCAGAAAGGGATGGAAAGCTTAGGAAGGTATTAGTAGGTAGCCATTATGGTGCACTGGGGAAATAGGAGGCAGCCAAAGACTTCTGACGTAAGCCCATCTTGTCTTTCCTGTACCAACAGTCTCCCTTGTTATTAGTGCTTAACAGCAGCTAAATTCAGGAGGCCAGGAGTTCAACCTGAGACTCTTGACTTATATTTTAAGGACAGGATTTTTCAGAAATGCCCAAATTATTTAGGAGCACTTGTGTCCACTAGCAAATTCTGAGTGAATTGAAAGCCAAGGGGCTGGTCCACTGGACTAGTTTGGAGGGAGGAGCGGGGGGGGAATTAAAAAATCCAACCCTGTCCCTCTGCATCCATAAACCACTTAATAGAGATGAAAATATTATTTCTGAAATCTATTTTGTTCCTCTGTCACTGTTCTGGGAGGGGAAGTTATTTCTGAGATTTTTTTTTTTAAGAGAACCAAAAATATGTTCCCATCAAGTAACAATTATTTCTTTCATTTACTGCTTTCTCATGCCTGATAAACACCTTATTTTAGAGGAGACTGAAGTGTACAACTCACTGGTGACGAAAATGTGCTTAACGACACGATTTATTGTGAAACTTTCTCATTAAGGTTAAAAAGGAAAGCACTGAAAAATTGTACGTTCCTTCTTAGCCTCAGCTGATCACATATGTATTTATATATACACACATGCTGTACAAGTGGATTGTTAAGTATATACAGCACTGGACTGAAAAGAGGATAGTTACAGGGTATTTTGTGCACTCTAAGCCGTTTAGCAGCAGCAGCACTGAAGTTTTGTTCGTTTACCACAGTGCATCATGTCCATACACAAGAGCAGTTTGAAGGCCACCACTAAGGTTAAGAAAGTCAGAATTAATCTGATGCAGTGTGAGCGTTCTGATGCCCTGTGTTCCCATCTATCGTGGGGTTTTATACCGCTCTCCGTCTCCGTAGGACTTGAGCACCTTCCACAAAAGAAGAAGCAGCAGGCAGGGTAACTGGGAAGTCTAACTGCCCCGTCATTTCCCAATCATTTATAGATCCTGTTGTCAGTGGCATGCCTTGCAGGGTATTGAAAAGATGGGTACTGGCATTGTTAGTAGCATCAGAGAAAATCTAAATCCCTGAGAAGCTCTGATTATGAAAACACAGAGTTGGCAGAAGCTTCAGAAAGAGAGGATATGGACTGTTTCAAACCTTGGAAAGTTCAGCTGGCCACGTTCCACTTCTATTTCTGTACACAGTTAAGTGTTTTTAACCGACTTGCATGTGTACAGCCGTACAAATTTGTCATGCAGAACAAAGGAATACATGTTTTAAACAAACCCGATTGGATTATATGCTTTACTTTCTTAGCTATTGAGGCTTTAATTAAAAAAATCCTCATCTTACTTGACAGCGTATCTCTACTAAGTGGTGAAAACCCTGAAAAACTAATAGTTGCCTATCAGTAGGTCTGAGATAAATGCCCTTCTTAGGAAGGAATGAGAAGCAGGGAGGGGAGAAAAAGACTTTGCTCTCTTACAGGGGACTAGAAACTCTGATCACAACTGGCATCTGTATCTTCAAGTATAGTTCAGAAGCCAAGGATTGCTTTAATGTAAAACGTAACTACCTGAGGCATGGCTGAAGCTATACTGGAAGAACTGCAAACTGATGTCCTAGCCCTGATCCCCTCTCTTCATGTGGAAAAGAGCCTACAGTTATTATAAAAGACATAACTAATTCTGTGTTTGGATAGAGTAGACATAAATGTGTCAGCAGCAGCATGGTCTCCTACAAGGGAGTGTATTTTTTCATTACTTTTTCAAGTTAAAGTAAGTGGAAACGTTTCCACAGTGTGCCAGTAAAATAGGATGAGGCTCTTCTTAAATGTCTTGACCATTACGAAAGTAGAATTTAAACTTCTACATATTTTAGGTACTTTCAGTAATTTTATATTACATTATTTACATTCATTTTCAAAGGTAATTTTTCTTCAGAGGCTACATGAAAAATAATCTTGAAAGGGAAACAAGACCTTTTTAGCACTGTAAAACTATTTCAGTCAGAGTGAAAGAGTAGCAGTAGAAAGTGGAGACTAATTGTTCCATTTCATCCTACAAACCCCTTCCAGAACAAACACTGATTCTTCTCTAGGATTTTCAGCTGTATTTCTCTGGGGTTTGTAATGCTCTTAGTTTTGTTATTTCATTAATCGTATCTTAACATTTAAATAGTGTCAGTTGAAACTTGTAGGTGTTTGTTTACTTTTTCCAGTAGATATGTCCTGTGCTCATAAATGATCATATCTCAGAACTGATGTAGCTAAGTTCCCGGAAGATATTTACACATGTGTATAATATAATAATATTAAATGTTATAATTACTAACAGACTAAGTTAAACTTTGGAATCTGTAATTTATTTTTTAATTTCATTATTTTACCCTGCAATATTTTCTAGAAAGCTGGAAGAATTTCTGAATTTTAAACAGTTAAAGACACCTTTGAAAGAAGCTATTTTGATGGATTATTATACTGCGGGATTTTGTTGGGCTAAAGAAATGAACTTCAGTCTTATACAGCTCTCAGGATTCATGGATCTATTAAATTTCCTGTTGGAGAACCTCAGTGGTAAGTATAATTAAAAATTGTAAAATAAATACCTGAAGTGGAAGGCTGGATTGTTTTCCAGTCACTTTTGTAATTTTACAATTGCAAGTAATTGTAAAATGATTTATTTTCCTCTTGAATGTTGGCATGCTATACCTTGTACCTGAAAATAATTCATTCTTATTGGCAGACGTTAAACTTTAGTTTAGAGAGGACTGTAGTCTTTTTAGCAGAATATCCCTCATTCTTTGTTTGTACAGTATGTGGTACAAAAGGACCAAGTCCTGAAGAGACCTCATCTTTGCTATGGTAAAATAAATAATAATTACAGTAGAGTGAGACCAAGGAGCTCCTAAATTCCAATTCCAGCTGTCTCAGTGACTGACTTACTGTAGCCTTGGGCACATTTCTCTGCTGATATTCAGTACATCCTGTAGCATTACAGCAGGTGAATTACATTTATTTTATCCTTGGAGGTCAACTCTCAGGCAGCTTTCTAGATGGCAACTGCTGCACTTCTGGCACAAAATATATCGGGTAACTAAAGACTGGTGAGAGAAGTAAGCTGGCATCAATGCCAAAGATGAAAAATGACAGTGAAAGGACCGTAGCTCCTGTGGCTATGGGGAAATTTGCAACAAAGCATGTAGCTTGGGTCTAGTGGGAACGAAATAGCCAGAAAAAATGGTTAGCAGCATCCTCTAAAACCTGTTTTTTAGAGATCACAATGCTTACTTAACATTCACTTTGAAGGTGATTATGTCGAGAAAAGTCCATCCCAGAGGAAGAGTGAAAGGACTCAGCGGTTCCATTCAAAGAGAAGATGAATATTTAAAATCAAGCTCATAATAGTTATTATACTCTTTCATTGTAATTTAATTCAAGAGTCTTTCTGACTTGGAATTTTGACAGAATATGTACGTGCTTTATGATCATTGAAATTCCAGTTGTCCTTCCTGTCTCCAATGAGAAAGTATCTTAACATATGCTGACTGTGTTAATGTAACAATGGAGAAGAATGGAAACATGTCAGAAATCAGTTTTATGAGACTGTATGTAAGGCATGTGTACCAGACTAGCTGGTAGCACAACCGATTATTAAAGCTGGCTGACCTTTCTCAGGAATGTGATCTTAGTTGCATAAAGCTTTGCCAAACTTTAACTCTTTAAGCTGAAATTTTCCATGGCAGTGTTTGCCTCTGATTGATTTTTATATGTAAAATTACAACTAAAACAGCTAAATGAGCTTGTAGACAGAGGCTGTGGGGGAAAAAAAAGTATTATTTTGTGCCTTTTTGGATTTTTTAACAGCTCTAATACCCCTATGCTTTGGAGTAAAGATAGAAGGTTTGGCAAGCAAGTGTTGTGAATTTGCTTTTTGCTGTCCTGTGAAAATCCATTCAAATTTGGCTAAGATACATGGCTTTTAGGGAAGGAAAATCAGTTTGTAAATGCTTACAGGAGACTTCTTATATTTTTCACAGCTAAGTTCCCTGAATAATCTGTCTTATAAAGTATGCTGTAGCCCTGGGCTGAGATGAATTTCCTTGTAATTACTGTTCTGAGCTGGTGCAAGTTCCAAGACCAAACATTTCAACTAAGAGCAAAATGCTAATGTCTTCTATATTAATGGCCATTTCCTTTCCCTTTCCTATATGGGACTCAAACGGCCTGGAGAATTAAGCTGATTTGACCATAATAGCAAGAATAGCATGGAGCAGGAAGAATGGACTTACAGAAGGAGGGTAGTGGAAACGCATTTAGAGCTGGTAGAGGAGAGAGGAAAACTGAGATTTGGAAACTGGAGGCTTTGGTTGATTGGGAGCCAGGATGAATTACTTGCGTGATTTGGTTCGTCCTCTATACATTGAGGGTAAAGTGCTCCTTACCTCACAGAAATACTGAGAGCGCCTTCCAGAGAGGGAGGTAGTTGGACTGAAAATCAGTTGTGCAGAGGAAAAAAAATTTGGGCTAGCTGCTGACAGAACTGGACCTGGGTGTTGTGACTTCTCGTGATGTTGTGTCTTCACTTCCCTAAAAACCCTGGTATTTCTGGTTCTATTGCTCTTTCTCATTTACCATGGCTCTATTCTGTTCTATTTCCTCCACATTCTCTGCATTTCTTTGTTTTCTTCTTGTTTCTTTCATTATGGTTATTTTTATTGTGCTCTCTCTGTTACTGAAAAACAAGGCAAAATTTTCAGGGCTTTGATTGTTGTAACAGTAAAGGGCAAAACTATAAAGACCAGAATCTTTGGAGTTTTAAAGTTTGTTTTCTGTACAAATAACCAAGGAGCAGATCAGTAGAGAATTAAAACAATAAGGAAAATAAATCTGTTTTATCACTGGTAGCTATTTCCCCATTTTCCACTCTAGATTTTTTCAACTTAAAAAGGACAAGTAAATTGAGTTTAAACTTTTTAAAATTTCACCATGTTTCCAGTGATGGCACACACTGTACCCAAATCAGAAAGATGAATTCTTTCTTTTTTAAAGGTTCAGCAAACACTGGTATGTTTCAGATTTTCCTCTTTGTCAAGGCACTTAACAAAAAGAATTTAGATTTTAATTCAAAGCTGGTTTGGCACTTGGTTTTGATTTCCAGGGTAAAAATGTGAAGTAATTATCTATTTTTTTTGGGGGGTGCAAAAATCTCTCCAAGTTTGATGATACATGCAGGGGATTATGCATATTCATGTTTAATCAATTATGACTGTAAGCACTTAAAAAAAATTGTTACCCTTTTTAACATCTGTTACTGTATTACTGGCTTAAATTGCAAGGGACATGGTCAGACTAACAATCTTCTACAATACAGAAGCAGTAGTAAATTTATTTTAAGGATAAACACACTATACATCTCAAATTTACATACTATTCTGCCTGTGGTTGTCTCTGCATCAGTAAGAGACCAAGCTGTAGTATCTTAAACACTCGTTGTTGTGATCATTATGATATGAAGGTGGATCAGTGATTTTTATGATGAAATTTAAATGCACATTTTACTGATAATAATAATGGCACCAGACAAAAATGTTTGACTGCTGTTGCTTTTTAAGTTTTTACATGGTTCCTAATGTAACTTCTTAAATTTCAAGAAGTCTTATAATTAAAATGAGCCAAAAACCCCACCTCACTCTGTCATGTTTATACCTAATTTTTGTTCCATGGGATTACTTTGCAGACAAACATATGACCTTAGGAGACAATTTAAAAGAACTTGGAAAAGCAATGGCTGGAATAGGAGAAACGGATTCAGAAAGAAGTGGTGACTTGAATTTCTTCAGCATTGAGGAAGCCAAAGCAATCATTGATTACTTGAACATCAGGTACTTATTTTGACAGGATCCATTATTTCTTACCTGAATAACATGGTGGGAAATTGGCGGATAAAATAAGTTAAAATTATTTAATTGGGTATGTTCATACTGTACCAACACACCACACACACCAAATTTTAAAACGTTAAAAAGAAGAATGAATATGCAAACTAGCAGGAAAGATCGGGCCTCAAATGTCAAAGTTCACAAAATAAATTTAGACTGGAAATGCATCAAAATGTAAGATTATGCTGAAAAGCTTCCTTCTGGGTTTTGTTTTGGGTAATAAAATGGAAAGAGGAGAGTAGTGTTTAGAGAATATTCTTGGTTTGCTGTTAAAACATTCTATTTTTAGATTCCAGGTCAATCCTAGGTCTTGTCTATAAGTATCTGTCTGGCCTTGACAGCTGTAGTGGGTGTTGTAAGTGGTTTAAAGTTTTGTACTTTACAGAATTAAGGCTACAGTCATGTATGAGTCACAAAAATGTTGCATTTCAAAATTAGCAAAAGTTCGGTATCTACATGAAAAGTTTTCGTGACAGGTCTCAGCTTTTAAACAGAGACACAGAAAGAGATGCAAACAGCAGTAATTCCGTTATTTATCTGAAAAAAATTAAGGTTCTGATAGCAGCCAATCACACCTCTCCAGATAAAGTCTTTACTATACAGTAATGTATACAGACCCTTCTCCTTCAGACTGAAATGCCATAGTGGCTGCACTTGTATCCCACTGTTTCCAGCACATGATGGATAGAATGGTTCTCAAGCTGTTGCATCACCCATGAATGTCAGGGGCAAGGATGCGGAAAATGGAATGGGTGCTGTTGTAACGTATGCCCATAGACTGTGCTACATCTGTAGCCCTTCAGCCCGTTTTCTCACCTAATTTTGTGGCAGATGGGCATAAAAAGCAATAAGGTCATGACTGATTGTCATGTCATAGATTGTTGGGAAATTTCCGACTGTTCTTTTGCTAGGAAAAGTTTAAGACATCAAAGAGGGTTTGGTCTTTTTTTTAGAGTGTTTTCTTGGATGCCGGAAAGTATTTCCTCTTGAAGACAGATAAAAATACTAGGATGGCTGATAGCCTTCCAGTTTAGTGTTCTCAGATTCAGATGGGGTATTTAATCCCAGCACAAGTGATTTCTCTTACAGTTGAGCTATAAAGTTTGTCTCTTCCTCCTGCTCTCTCGTTTTTGGTGGTTTTTTTTTTTTCCTTTTGTTTCTTTTTAATGGAAAATATAAAAAACTTAAGGTTCTTCCATATAAAATGAGAACATCTCCTTAAATCTCTGATTTCTGTAGTCAAGGCAAACCAAGGTCCTGCCAAGTACTAGCCTTAAACGAAAAGGAAACTTGGCATTTAAGATGTCTTGCTCATTCTTTTACTTCTCCCTTCCTGTCTGTGCCTTTTGTATATTCATTTGGAACAAATGCTCTTTCCAAATAGCATGTCTACAGCTCCTGTGTAAATTATCCATTGAAAGAGATCTTGTCCATGCAGTAATTCCTTCACAGTCTCAGTAATTTCATCCAAGAGATGAGGTGCTCCTACCACCAAAGTATTCACTGGGCAGAAATATAATCAACCCACAAGACTTCTGCAGCAGCATGGTATTTTGGCCACCAAATATGTGGTTGTGTGTTCAAACTGCTCAATTTATTACAGGTCTGTGCTGTTGCAAGGTCATGGATAGAGACACAGACACTCTCATGTGTCACATAGATCCAGTTCATACATTCCATTATTTCAGTCTTCTGAATGTTGGGGTTGTTTTTTTCTAAATAAGAACTGAATCAGCACACCTCTTATGCTAGTGTATTTTGAACTTTATGAAGTCAGAAATAGGTTGACTGAATTTTATTACAATTCAAATTAATGTATTACTTCAACATTTTTTCTTGTTCTTTGCTTTTTTTTTCTTTTGTTTAATTTTAAATGATAGGTCTATACTTTTTTTTTTTCTACTCAAGATAGTATGACATGTTTTAGTTCAGATCACATTTTACAGATGAGCTATAAACCCATGGGATTTATAATGGAAATGGGGACAAATGCTTAACCACACTGGCACAAACTGTGCAGCAGCTATAATGACACCTTCAGGTTTGGTGGTGGTGACAGTTATCATCTTTTTATCTTGTCTCCTTGGGCAAACACACATCAACATAGCTCTTGACATTTTCTTTGAGGAAGCAGTGGAGCTAGGGAAATATGTCATTGTTAATCACCTTCAGATTCTCATATGACATCATAAGAGGGTCTATTCTTAACAACCTTAGTTGCACGAGTAATTAGTAATTGCTAAAAATGTAGGTACAGAATCTTTTAGTTGTTCATTAGAGATACAAACAAAAAACCATTTTATATAATGCCTGATAGAAGAAAGAAAACTACACCGTTGTTTCAAAATAAATACTGAGGTACAATTTACACTATTTGATTTAAAGAGCATTAAATGGAGGAATTCTTTCCTTGATATAGGATTAAGGGTGCCAGGTTGAACAGAGTTCTGCTTGAAAATAAATAAATTGAATTCAGAAATGCCAAAAGTAATGACTTATATTTTGGGGAATATTATAAATTATCTGTACCTGTAACATAATCCATAAAGAATATCATAACACATTTAGAGGGGAAGGGGAAGATCTTATTTTCAGGTGCTGTAAATCTGGCTTCTTTCCAAGTCACTGGAATAAATAAAAGAAAAAAAGTTTGAAATGTTAAGTTCCATCTCTGCAGTTTGAAAGATATATATCTTATTTCTTGTGTCTGCAAAGTTCTTAAAATATTTTTGTCTCTTTCAAATAATCCCTGTTAGAATTTTAAAAGAGAATAGGTGTAGGTATGAGGGAATACGTGCATTTTCATAAATTTGTGTGAGTAATTTCCAGGTTAAGGCCTGAAGTCTGTTTAAACATAATTCCTGTGTCTCCACTGAAAGATGGCAGGAGTTCTTTGGTGAAGTACTGCAAATGAAATGGCAAATATTGTAGCAACTTATTTGACTGCCTTTTTGTTTTAAGTTTGGGGGAAGGGAACTTGTAGTTTATGGTAGCCAAATTTCTTATGCAAGACGGTAAACAAATTTGGTTTTTAACTAATGGTAATTGAATGACTGAATTAAATGTAACTGTAGAATAAAACTTTTATATGGCACTTAAAGAGCCAAATGTTCCATGAGGCTGCTGTAATACTCACCAAATTAGGAAATGCATCTGTACATATGTGCAAAAACGTCTGCATCCATTCGGGTAAAAATGTGCTGGAAACTTTCACAGATGCGTGTGACTAAGTGCTGGAAGCTGTACTGTGAGAGCGGAGAAGAACATGGGCTGGAAGAACCACTGCTGTATGTTAGCTGGCACTTCACTGCTTAAGTTAGAGCAAATTGTCCCAAAACCGCATCTCAAAGGGCAGCCTGTGCTGGGTTGTGTGGCCAGGCACGGGTATTGTAAACACACTTCCATAGCATTAGCACGATATCCTGCAGCTTGTGACAGCATCTTTAGCATTAGCTAGATGGTTTCAGAAATTGGGTGTAGTAGGTACTTTCATAGGCCCGTAGAAAAACTGATGTTGGAAGGGACTTCTGGAGACCATCTAGTCCTAAGTCCTTCTCACAGCAGGCCTCAGCATTCCAGGTGTGGCCTTGTAAGTGCCAAGCAAAGAGCCATTGCCATCCCGGTTGGTGGCTCTCCTAAAAAAAGAACCCATGTCCTGCCCTTAGCCGGAAAGCACAGGAACCAGTTACAGATGTTCCCTGTGAATATTGCTGTATCTTTCCTGGGTAGATCAGGCAGGAGTGTGATAAACTCCTGGAATCATTCTTCAATCTGGACTTGTTATGAAATCACAGGGCTGTGTTTTAAATCATACGTCAAAATGACGTGACGGAAGCCAGAAGTTCTGTATCATGATTTTAAGAGAACAACTAATTGTAACAGATGGACTGTGACAAACCAAACCTTTGATTAAACAAATGCCATAACATTGATCATTAGGAAGGGGAACAAGGACAATTATTCAAAACATGTGAAAAGGAAAGCCATATATTTTTTAAGGAAGATAAATATTTTAGGCCACTGAGAAAGTCTATTTTAAGTTACTTTTGTTGTAATACACAAACCCCCAGTGTGTCAATCTAGTTTTTTAGTTTTTCTTTAAGGAAATAATACACTGCTTTTGAAACATGACCTTGAGAGAATAAATGCTTCCATTCTTTATTGTTTTGGTGTTCCAAGATCAAACTTGCTGCCTGGACTGGTAGCCTATCCCAGAATCTGAAAGCTGTTTTGGCTTTGTTTCCTTCTTGTTCACTGCTGCTGATATTAAAGGCCTAAGTATCCTGGTGATAAGTGTTTCAGGAATTACTTTTTTCAGAGCAGAACTTTGTCTTCTCAAAGTTCAATTTCATAAGGACAAAGCAGATGTGTTTTTAAGTATCATACTGTATTTTCTATGGCCATCTGATAGTAAATCATGTAAATTAAATATCCTACATATTGTGCCTGAAGTTAAACAACCATTTATATTTAAAATTTGGAGTATTACCGTGCTGAGTGTAGTGCTTTTTTTTAAGAGAATTTTTAATATTGTTACTTTTCCAAAGATTTACAACTGTAATAGTACTATTTTCTCTTGTTTTCCAGCTTATTTAAACACTATGAACTATATGAATATGTCTTCCACAGTCCTAGAGAACAACTTGTGATAAGTAATGAGGTAAGTCATTTATATAGATGGAACTCATTATGCAGAGTTATTTAATGAATGCACCGTGGCATATGTTTTATATTGCTCAAAGCAACTTCGTGTCAACATTACTGCATTACGAACGTAAAATGGCTGATTAGAGAATACAAGTTAGATGTTTTGATCCTCATATTCAAAATTAATTTTGGATTTCAAAAAAGTGTAAATGCATTGCTTGGCTGTTAGTTGTGTTAAATCAGGAATACTTTTGTGTATGTATTTATAAGTTGATGCATGTAATTTGAATTAGCCATGCATGAATCTAACTCTAATTTAAAATCAGCAATCAAAATCAGAAAAGGTCGTGTATCGAGCCTGGTCTGACCACAGTCCTAACATTTAGGACTGGTGGACTCTGGTGAAGCATTGGAACAAGATGCCCAGAGAAACTGTGGATGCCCCCTCCCTGGAAGTGTCCAAGGCCAGGCTGGATGAGGCTTGGAGCAACCTGGTCTAGTGGAAGGTGTCCCTGCCCATGGCAGGGGGGTTGGAACTGGATGAGCTTTAAGGTCCCTCCCAACCCAAACCATTCTATGATTCTATGATTTATGTATTCATGTATACAGAGTTTTGTTTCTACCGTAGCCACCAGGAATTAATTATACTGGCTGTAAAGAAACAAGCTAGCTGGATATTCAGCATTCTGAAAGCATTTAGTAAATAATAGTGAATTGGCTTGACTGTAAACTTTGTCATATATTCTAACTTACGTGTGAAAAAATACATAGGAAAATGCATTGATGCAGGATGTGGCCTTTAATCAAATGAACATATTCAGTTCATCAAATAAACCTTCCTTTAGGCTGACGGTGCATTTTAAGGATGTATTTTACCATACCTTGAAGAGGATTTAGGTTTATAATTTATATTAGGAGGCAACTGGTTGCTCAGAGTGGCACGTTAGTGGGATTTTTTTGATGGTACTTATGTTTTAGCTTATCAGTACACGGTGAAGTTAAAGTTAATGCACTGGAAAATTTTCTTTATACTTTAAGCTGGTTGCCTGACTCTGAATGATGGGGGGGTGGTTTCTTCTTGTGTTGCTTTTAAATAGCCATACTATAAAGTGGGCTTTTCTTGACATGGATGCAAATATTTGGAAATTGTTCTCATCATTTGTAAGGAGAGTTAAAATTCCAACTGTGATAAAATCAGTGACAAAACTGTCATTACATAAGTAGAGCAGGATTTCAGCATTACTGTGTCAGGGTTGTTTTTATACATTAGCTAATCAGATTAATGTCTGGTTAGCACTCTCTAATTGGTAAAATTATTTTTAATGATTAAGTAATTTCTTGTGTAAATTAGGGTAATGTATTTTGTCAGTTTTAGACTAACTTAAAAGAAATGTCTTTGTGCTTTCTTAAGACCCATTTCTGCATGGCTGAGATCAGTGTACACTGTCCCAGCCACAGAAGAGGGTTTGCTCTGCACAATCTGTGTGCTGTGGAGTACCACCTCTGCTGAAGGTACCACGTCCACCAGGGAATGCCAGAAATGTGCTTCTGTGTATTACTTTGGTGATGATCTATCGAAAGAACAAGTACAACCTCCAATTACAGCTGTCACAAAAACCTTCACGACAGTTTGTAGCCATAACCCTTTTACGGCCATTTCTCTGCACCAGTTCAGTTTCATCCATCTGTTTTGTATTCTGACTTCCATGGCAGAGTCTTTAATTTGTGCAACCACGCTGCAATGCCCAAGAAAATCAATACTTATATTCCTGTAGAGTTTATTTTGATAGGGTGATACATTGTTCTTCAATAAGTAACAGTTTTAGCTGTTGAAGCTACACATACAAATTTATGGCATTATTTACACTTGCTTTACGTGTTCAAATGTGATGAGAGGTGAACCCAGCATAGTTCTTTTGCTACAATTTAGTTATATTTAGAAATGCTTATCCACAGAGGAGAGCATTGCCTTCTACGTCTGCAGCCCCGTAGACGAACAGCTCCCACTCTGACAGGTCAGCAGGGCAGGTGTGCTTTGGGGCGTGTGGCTGTGGCCGGAGCGCGCCTGGAGTCGCACGCTCTGCAGGGCATCTGCTCAGGGAACAGAAGGAGGCAGGAGATCGACTGGGAAATCTGCGTGCAGAAAGTAGGCGATAAATCAGTGCTGAAAGGCTGGCTGCTGTCTTGCTACGTAGATCGATGTCTTACCAAAAAAAAAAAGCCACGTGGGCACGCTGTGGCCCACAGCTGGATGTGATCCTTATGTCTAAAAAGTTTTCTTTTAGCTCCAGCGATAGAAGTCTGTTCTTTTGGAATGGGAGACTGTAAATTGTAATGGCCAGATTTGCCCAAATGAGGACCGCGGTGTTCTAAGACCATAATTACAGCATTATCTCCTTTTGCAAATGCAGGCTTTGAGACAAGTCAGTGAAATGACTCGCTTCAGCTGAAATGATTTGCTTCCAGTGAAATGGCTTGCTTTAGCTCAGAGGGTAAAAATGTGCTCCACGTGTGCCGAAAGTATTACCCACGGAATGCAGGTCCAATAGGCTAATGAGAAGACCTGCTTCTTTAAGAGAGATGCAGCGACAACCAATAAAAGCAGCACTTAGTGCTGTAATGGACATCCTTTTAGAGAAACCGCAGTATGTGTTTTCCAGAGAAATCTTACAGCGACGATTGTAAACTCATTGGATTTTATTTTTTCTCTAGTGCAGGCAGTTATACAGTGTTCTCAATCAGGTTTCCTTTTTGATCTTTCACTGCAGTTATTTCCAAATGACCCTGTCATTTCCTGTGTAGAATAAAATCAGACAAGAAAAGGGAAATGACTCAAAACTGAGTTAGATTATGCATACAGTATCTGTGGCCGTGCCACTTAACAAAATCTAAGGTACTTAAATATGGCATGTAATTAGTGGAGCTTCACAGGCTGATTAATATTCTGCATTTGATGCAGCTAGCATAATAGAACCACCTTTGCAAAATACAGGCAGTACTTTAGTCTTAAAAAAAAAAGGAAGTAACAAACGCCTGACTAATTTAAATATATTTTTATGTTGGCTAAAGCCTTTAAATCAAACTGCCTGAGGTGATCATCTTGCCTAGCAAAAAAAAAAAAAAAAAAAGTTAAAACTGAAAGACATGAACGCGTGGTTAGATGATAAAACACACACTATACATCTAACCTACTTTGGCAGTATTTAAAATTTAAAACTTGCCTTTCCAGCTATCGAATCCCTCACTTCTCCTTCATTCCAGGTCTACAAAGCCCTATATATTATGTATGCATGAATACCTGTTAGAAAACATGGTGGTACAAGGAATTGCTGAGAAGTGTTATGATTGCCAAGTAAAGTCGTTGCTTTTTTCCCGTTACTATTACGAGCAGTTCCCCACATTTAGAATGATTACAGAAGAGGCAGTGCTTTAGCTGTTCTGTGGCTATGATCCAAAACAAAATGCATGTAGTGCTAACATACCAGAGCTCTTCAGGAACACTGTTGTTAAAGATACCGTTCTTTCCTTTTGCCTGTTCTGGGGGTTTTTCTCTCTAGCTGTGATTTAGTACACCTATATTAGCCTGCAATTTCAAAGAAAGCAAAAGGAGTACAGACTAAATCTCGATGTGCAGGGATTCAATGGAGCCATTCCTATTAACACATGCCAGAGCTTATAACAGAGGTTTAAATTGTTAATACATGAATTGTGTGTAGAAGTTTTATTCTTTTCTATGTTCCGTTAATTTATTTTGCTTTGAGAGGATAATATATTACAGCACGTCATGGGTTTTTTTTTCCCTCGCGTTTACAAATTGTACCTTATACTGCAGTTCATGTATTTGCTGCACTCTGTTGTGTATTTTTGGATGGAATGAGGCTAAGGTCTTTTGGGATTATGTCTGCTTTGAAACATTTCCTAATAAAAATAATGTGGTTGGTAAATCTAGTTTTATTCCTAGTTGCTTTAGCCAGCCTGATGGAGTAATCTGCTATTTTACGGCCCAGATGACTAGCTAAGTTTGACTTCTTGAAATAGTAGTGTACAATGTAATTTTCTTTAGAGATGTCATAGTGGGTCAGGTTGCAATAAAAATATCGAAGATTAAGTTTAATGGCAGTGCAGATTCAGTATTATAGCAGTCACTAGATATCATCCTCTGCACTTAGAGTTCCAAACCAGTTTCCATTAATGCCTTCTTTCCATGTACTCCTTACTTGCTGAAACATTAAGCTTTTGGACTATGTCTGGTCTTTATCCAATTGTGGGTTGGGTTTTTTTGAAAGTTTCTGAACAAAATCCCTTCTATGTTCAAATGTAAGGGGCTGGATAGGAAGAAAATACTATTTGAAAGCTAATCAAGCTCTTTTTCCTGATGGAAAAATACCTGAAGTCTGGGACTTGACTTTGATAAGTAATTGTCATTAGGTGTTGCATATTTAGATTGGCTAATCAGTCATTGTTTAAACTAATTTTCTCAATGATTTCTTGAGAACTGCATTTTAAAGATGTATGAAACCAGAACATTTCCATAGGCATATCAGCTCACACTGGGGAGACTCATTCCCGAGCTAACGAGTGCGTGTTTTTCAAAGCCTGAAGGTTTCAAATATTTGTAATGCTTAAAAACCACTGAGTTGATTTTCTGTAAGTTTGTTTTGTAAATATCACCATGGTAAAAACATCAAGATTACTTGGAAGGAAAAAAGAGCAGAGGACTGGAAGGGCCCTCTTCGTAAGCTCTAGTGCCTCTTTCTCATAGGAAAACATATGCAGTCCTCTTCAGAAACTCGTCAAACACTGGCCTAAAAAGTTAAATTTTTTGCCTTTTCCAGTTAGAGAGCTGCCCTGGTTCCTGGTTTCTGTAATGGTTATCAACTTCTAATTTTCAGGCTAAGTGTATTCATGACAAGCTTACCTGCATTTGTCCCTGTGCTGATTTGTGCCAGTATTGACCTTTAGTTCTTATTCCATCCCCAGTGTTTATTTTTCTAGGGTATAAAGAGACAGCAA